CCCCAGACAAAGGCCTGCTGATCTTTGCCCCCCCCCCCCCCAGGAGCCTTGGCTCTCCTCCCACCTTCCTTTCCTCCCTGCTGGCCTCTCCCTCTGTTCTCTGTCTTCTCACTTCCCTCTGTGCCTTTGCTCTGACTGGCAGTTTTCCCCAGCTCCTTGCTTAGGCCGATCCTTCCATGTTGTCTTCAAGTCCTGCTTCCTGCACATCTCCCAACCCGGATGGGGAGAACACAAGTAAGATGGTCCATTGGGCTTCTGAGAGGAAGAGGAGGACATCATCAACGGACTCAGAGTCAAAGTCCCACTCAGACCCCTCCAAGGTGTCCAGGTCCCGGAGATCCAGCCGGCTGACAGTGAAGTATGACCTGGGGCAGCTCCAGCGCTGGCTGGAGATGGAGCAGTGGGTGGATGCTCAGATTCAGGAGCTTTTCCAGGTGGGTAGCATGGGGGAGGGTGGGAGGAGATAGGGAGCCTGGGACCCAGCTGTGGGAATGAGAGAGAGACTGCTTGGAAGCTTGCAGAGGAGCTGGAGGGCTCACGCAAAATGCTGCCATGGAGAGACAGCTTTTCCCACAGGTGTAAGGAGGAAGTGTGGGGTTGGAGTCCAGAAATCTGCCTCCCTCTGGTCTTGGCTGTGCCTCTAACTCTCCTTGTGATCTGGACAAGTCTTGCAACATCTTTAAGACTTTGTTTCCTAACCTATAAAATGGGGCCATCAATGCCAGTCATATCTCCTTGGTAGGACTTTTTGAGGCTTAAATGAGATAATTAAAGGGAATATGCTTGGTCAGGCTATTTTTCTTTATTTTGTGTCTTTATTTACTCTCTTTCTCAACACACATACATGTCTAGAGCTATATTGTCCAATATTGTAACTGTCAGCCACGTGTAACTAATGTTAAATGAATTAAAATTAAATAAAATTAAAAATTCCATTCCCCAGTTACACCACATTTCAAGTGTTAAATAACCCCATGTGGCTAGTGGCTACCATATTGTCAGCACAGATAAAGAACATTCCCATCATCTCAGAATGGATAGCACTGGATTAGAAGTTAGAGTAACCGAGGGTGAGAGGTGAGTACTACTATCAGGACCTGGTCTAGCTTTGGCCCTGGCTCTGCCTGACTGCCCTCAACCCACCATGGGAAAAGGATTGGTCTTGGCCCCTGGTCACTAGAAGTGACACTTATTTAGATTCCTCCCAATCTAGGGCCAGCCCATGGCTCACTCGGGAGAGTGCGGTGCTGATAATACCCAAGGCCACGGGTTCGGATCCTATATAGGGATGGCCGGTTGGCTCACTGGCTGAGCATGGTGCTGACAACACCAAGCCAAGGGTTAAGATCCCCTTACTGGTCAGCTTTTAAAAAAAAATAATAATAAAAATTAAAAAAATTAAAAAATTAAAAAAAAGATTCCTCCCAATCTGGATCCTAGAGCAGTAACAACCACTTCTCTGAGAACAAGAATAACATTTTGAGCACTTAACTATGTGTTAGGCACAATACCAAGTACTGATGTATGTTATTTCATTTAATGCTCCTCACGACTCCATTAGGTAGGTACTGTTTTACAGCAGAGTGAATGGAGAGTTAGAGCTGTTGAGTAACTAGGAAGCCATGGAACCAGGAGCTGCACCTAGAGCTCTGGCTGCAGAGCTTAGGCACTTAATCAAGCAGCCAGTGGTTCTCCACACCTGAAACGCTTAAGAAAAAATTTCAATGCCCCCACTCCACCTCAACTGAATTTGAATCTACTAGGGTGAGACCCAAGCATGAGACATTTTTTATAAGCTTCACAGTTGGTTCTAATGTGTGGCCAATGCACCAACCCAGAGAACCAGGAATCCTCCTTCTCCACAATACATGGTCCTTGCTTTTCCTTCTCGGTTTAGGTCCTATCTTTTTCTTTTTGGGGCAGCAAGAGCCTGTGATTCTTACAGGAAAAGGCTGTCAGTGGTCCTCTGGATAGGGGTGGGAAGAATGATGGAAGTGGCCCACTCTGTCTTAAAGCTCACTGGGTCATGTGTCAGTTTGGTCCAGGTGTTGACCATGTCCCCTGCAGTATCCTGTGCCCACTCCTGGAGGGTGGGGAGATGTCTGTCTGCTTTAACCTTGCAGGATACCTCCACTGCCACTTACCACTTCCAGCACTCTCTGCACTGGATCTGTTTCAATTTTGGATTGTTGTGCACTTACATGAAAAATCTCTTATTTCAGACACCCCAGGGCAAATCCTTCCGGGTATCAGAGAAAGAAAGTAGCCAAACAACCTTGTTTTGCAAGATGAAGGTCAGGGGAGGGAAAGTGTCATAGTAATAAGCCCATAACACTGGAAAAGAGGACACGTGGGAGGACTGCTCCCAGGCAATGACTGGAATAAAATACCTGGCTGTGGTTGCCACGGCAATTGTTCAAAGGTGCCAGGTGGCAGTTACTCTCCCAATCCCTGCTCTTTTTAGCAGGAAGCAGCTAAGTGGTTGGGGAAGCCCCAGGTGGTTGGTCTTCTTGGGGAGAGGTCAAGGCAACACAGTCTCCAGCCTTACCTTGTTCTAGTTCTACCTTCATAGGACTCCTCCCCACCCACCAGGGCTTTACCTCACATGCCCACCCTGGATAGCACAACTGGGAATGGTTCTAGAGAAGCATCCCTTTACTTGTTTACTTTACGTGTTCAGACCCACCCTTCCTTTGCTGGAGGGCCCTGTCTCTTCTCCCTGGGCATGCAGCCTGGTTTGGGGTCTTCAGAAGAACCAAGACTGGGGATACAAACAGACTAGAGCTTTGGAGCTCCTATTGTCCAGAGGTAGAGTGTTGATTTGGCTTTTAAGCAGGGACTTAAACACCCATGAGTTTTTCCTATTTTAAGAAGACCTTGGCTCAACAACATGCTCCCCTCTAGTTACCATCCTCTATTTCTTATCTCCTTATAGCCAGACTCCTTAAAGGATCTGTCCACATTCACATCCTTTGCTTGCTTTTTTTTTTTTTTTTACTGTTTCCATTCAATCTGCTGATATCTGGCTTCTGCTCCCACCAGTTTATTGAGATTCCTGGCCAAGATCACCAATCACTGCCTTGGGCTAAATTGAATGAACACCTCTACAGGGAACATTGTTGACCACCCCAGGTTTTAAAACATTCCTTCCCTGTAGGTTCTGTGACAGTAACTTTTCCTCGTGGCAGCTTTCTCTCGCTCGCTCTCTCGCTCTCTTCAGCTCTCCTGTAAGGGGATCCAACCCCCTGACCTTGGGGTTACAATATCACACTCTAACCAACTGAGCTAACCAGCCAACCCTTAGCAGCTGGCATTGTGATGCAGCTCTTTTGATGTGGTGACATTGTAAGTAACAATCTATTAAACTTTCAGCTTTAAAAAAGTATGTCAATGAATGTGTGAAACAAACATGTGTTAGCTCATCTGAGCCCTACTCCATTGCTGGTCTCCATGGTGGAGAGATCAGGAAGGAGTAAAGGGGCCTTGGTATGAAGTGAAGGTAAAAGAAGGCGTCAAATAAGGCAACATCTGGCAGGAAACCACCATATGTGCTATAGAGTCATAAGTTTACCACACTTGTTCATCTCAGTAGAGGTTGTTTTGTGTACCTGCTTATTTTCTGAGAATTTTGAAAAATGCTTGAAGGAAAGAATATTTGGACTATGATATGAGCTCATATTCTCAACACCAGACTGGAGTGGCAATCTTATTCTCTGTAATATATATACCTTACATTCACTATATATATATTTATTTATTTATTTTTATTTATTTAATTTTTTTTATTTTTAAAAAGATGACCAGTAAGGGGATCTCAACCCTTGGCTTGGTGTTGTCAGCACCACGCTCACCCAGTGAGCAAACAGGCCATCCCTATGTGGGATCCAAACCCGTGGCCTTGGTGTTATCAGCACCACACTCTACCGAGTGAGCCACGGGCCGGCCTATATATATTTAATATCATAAATGATATAACAATAGTTTGGGGGCAGGACTGATACTTTTTTACAGGTAAAGTCCTAACCAACTGAGCTAACCAGTCAGCCCCTTATAGGCAGAGTTCTAATCATTAGAGTTATTCTGAACTACCACCCACCTTCTGATACTGCAATTACACATATGTTAGACTGCTTGATATTGTTCCACAGGTCACCAAGGCTCATTTCTGTTCTTTTTTTTTTTTTGCCCCAGGTTTTTTTTTTTCCTTTTGTGCTTCATTTTAGCTAGTTTCTTTTGTAATATTTTCAACTGATTTTTTTTCTGTAGTATGAGATTTTTTCTGCATATATTTCTGAAATATGCTAATTCAATTCAGTAAGGTTTTCATTTAAAATATTGTGTTTTTCATCTTTAGATGCTACATTTGGTTCTTTCTTATATCTCCCATTTCTCTCATTACTATGTTCAAGTTTTCCTTGTCTGCAATTCCATCATCTCTGTCATTTCTGGGTCTGCTTCTATTGACTGATTTTTCTTCTGTTTATAGGTCACATTTTCCTACTTCTTGGCACAACTAGTGATTTTTGACTGGATATTGAACATCGTGAATTTTATGTTAAATAACTGGATTTAAAAAAACGAAAACAAAAACCTTTTTTTAAAGAGTGTTAGGCTTTGTTCTAGTTGGCGGTTAAGTTACTTGTGGTTCAGTTTGATCCATTTGAATGTAGCCTTTAATCTAGGGAATAATTTACCCCCCTAGTAAAGCATGACCCTTTTGAGGTTTCTACTGAATTCCTGTATGATCAACAATAATTTTCCACTCTGATAGGTTGGAACTTGATTTGTCTCCCAGTCCTGTGTGAGATCTGGGAACTTTTCACCTCTGTGCCTTCAGTGCCTCATAATATCTGGTCTTGTGAAGTTTTACTCTATGAATATGCATCTTAATTTTTTTTTTTTTTTGTCTTTTTTGTGACCGGTAAGGGGATCGCAACCCACTGGCCATCTCTATATAGGATCCGAACCCGTGGTGAGAGCGCTGCTGCGCACCCAAGCGCTGCACTCTCCCAATTGCGCCACGGGGCCGGCCCTGCATCTTAATATTGAACAAAAGTTCAAGAGAACCCTTATGCAGATTTCTGGAGGTCTCTTTCTCCATAACTCCCTCCTTTCCAGAATTTTGTCCAGCAACTGCCAGCCACCTCAACCTTCCTGAAATCAGATCTCTGTCACATCAATTTAGCAAGACCACTATGCTCTGCCTGGGATCTCTCTCTCTTCTCTGTGGTCTGGAAGTTACCTCCAGGAAAAAATCTGGGGCAGTTATAGAGTCTACTTCTCTCATTTCACCTTCTATCTGGGATTACAGTCCTGAGCTACCTGTTGCCCAATGTGTGAAGATTTTGTTCATGTATTTTGTCTAGTTTTCTAGTTACTTAGTTGTGAGAATAAATCTGGTCTCTGTTACTCCATCATGACCAGAGCATAAATATCTGATTAACTCTTACTTACCTTTCTGGTCTCAGATTAGACATCACTTCCTCCAGGAAGCCTTCCTGAACCCCACGCTTGGTTAGGGTCCCCTATCATTTGCTCCACAGCATCTCATCAGGGTGCTTATCACTTGTCTGTATCCCTCAGGAAACTATAAGCTTTTCAAGGCCACAATCATGCCTGTCTGTCTTGCTGTTATGGCCCCAGCACTCATCACAATGCTTGGTGCATTGCACGCACTTAATAAATAGGCATTAAGTGAATGAGTGTGGAATAAAACAAACTAGAGATCAAGGAAGCAAAATGGAAAGTCTTGAGCTTAGGGTGAAAGGTATGGAAGGACCAAAAGTCTTAACAGTAGTTACCTGTTGGCAGTGGGAGGAATGAGAAGGTAAGTAAGGTTTCTTTTTCTTTTTGTTCCATTTCTTTTTCTTTCTTTCTTTTTTTTACAAAATCAATTGTGCTGAAGTATAATTGACATAGAATAAAATTTGCTACTTTGAAGTGTACATTTGGATGCATTTTGCCATAGGTAACCACTACCCTAATCAAGATAAAGGAACATTTCCATCATCCAAAAAGTTTCCCAAATATCACTTACTGTTAAACAAATTACATGACTTAATTACTTATCACATCTGTCTTTATTATGTCTCCTTGACTGCCACTAATATGTAGGCTCTTTGAAGGCAGGATCTTCATTTTACTCACTAAAGTTCCCAAGTTCACAGCACCACGTAAATAATAGTCACTGTATACATACTTGTTGAATAGATTTGAAAGGATTAAATAATGAAATGGAAAAGGTGAAATTCTCAAGTCACTAAAATATGTAAACGTGATTATAAAATATTTATCCAAGTCAGTATAAGAAGAACTTGCTGGGGCTGGATGGTTAGTTCACTTGGGAGGACATGGTGCTGGTAATACCAAGGTCAAGAGTTTAGATCTCCTTAACCAACCCGCTGCCAGAAAAAAAAAAAAAAGAACTTGCTAAGCATTAAAAAAAAAAGAAAGGACTGGCCGGTTAGCTCAGTTGGTTAGAACACAGCCTTATAATATCAAGCTCATGGGTTCAGATCCCTGTACCAGCCAGCTACAAAAAAAAAAAAAAAGAAAGAAAGAAGCAACCCAAACTGGAAATACCTTTATTTTTATTTATTTATTTATTTATTTATTTAAAAAGATGACCGGTAAGGGGATCTTAACCCTTGACTTGGTGTTGTCAGCACCACGCTCAGCCAGTGAGCGAACCAGCCATCCCTATATGGGATCCGAACCCGTGGCCTTGGTGTTATCAGCACCGCACTCTCCCGAGTGAGCCACGGGCCGGCCCTGGAAATACCTTTAGATTCAACTATATAAACACATACATCTATTTCCCCAATCGCCCCTCCCACCCCACAAATGCAAAAGATATTACCATCACATATGAAATGCTAGGGTTAATCTGAATTCAATAATTTTAAAAGACTTAAATCAGTTAGTAAAAACTGAAGAACCAGTAGAAAGAAGGGTAAGACAGCAGCCTCGAAGCGTGGTCTGGAGATCCATGGGGACTCCCAGTACTCTTTCAGAGATTCCATGATTATTTTCATAATAAAAATAAGACATTGTTTGCCTTTTTCACTATGTTGACTTGCGCTGATGATGCAAAAGCAATGGTAGCCTTTAGCACGAATCAAGAAAGTGGCACTAAACTGTGCTAGTAGTTGTGTCTGTCACCACCATGTCATTTTCACTTAAGAAAGTCCTTGATGGGGCCGGCCTGTGGCTCACTCGGTAGAGTGCGGTGCTGGTAACACCAAGGCCACGGGTTTGGATCCCACATAGGGATGGCCGGTTTGCTCACTGGCTGAGCGTTTGATTTTGCACTGAATAATATTCCATTGTCTGTATGTACCACAGTTTATTTATCCATTTACCTACTGAAGGATGTCTTAGTTACTTCCAAGTTTTGGCAATTAGGAATAAAGCTGCTATAAAACATGTGTGCAAATTTTTGTGTGGACATGTTTTCAACTCATTTGAGTAAATACCGATGAGTGCTTTTGGCAGATTGTATGGTAAAAATATGTTTAGTTTTGTAAGAAACTGCCAAACTGTCTTCCAAAGTGGCTGTACCATTTTGCATTCCCACCAAAAACAGAGTTCCTCTTGCTCCACATCCTCATCAGCATTTGGTGTTGTCAGAGTTTTGGATTTTTGCCATTCTAACATGTATAGTGGTGTTTCTTTCATTCATTTTTTTTTTTTTTTTGGTGGCTGGTGGGTACAGGGATCGAGTCCTGGACATTGGTGTTAGCAGCACCATTCTCTAACTGGATGACTAACTGGCCAGCCCCTCATTGTTGTTTTAATTTGCAATTTCCTAATGACATACGATGTTGAGCATCTTTTTCTATGCTTATTTGCTGTCTGTATATCGTCTTTGGTAGGGTGTTTGTTCAGATCTTTTGCCCACTTTTTATCCTTTAAAAAAAATTTTTTTTTCTTCTTTTGTCCACTTTTAAATTGTGCTGTCTTGTTTTGTTGAATTTTAGGAGTTCTTTTGTTTTTGTTTTCATTTTTTGGCAGCTGGCCGGTATTTGGATCCCATCCCTTGACTTTGGTTTTAGAAGGCTGTGCTCTAACCAACTGAGAGTTTTAGGAGTTATTTGTATTTTTTTTTGTTTTGGTGGCGGGGGCAGGGTGCTGGCTGGTGCAGAGAACTGAACCCTCCACTTTGGTGTTATCAACACCGTGCTCTAACTAACCACTAATCTACTTCCTTTCTCTACAGATTTGCCTATTCTGTACATTTCACACACATTAAACCATATATATGGCCTTTTATAACTGGCTTCAGTAACATGTTTTCAAGGTTAATTTATGCTGTAGCATGAATCAGTACTTTGTTCCTTTTTATTGCCGAATAGTATTGTATGGCTATGCCATTATTTTATTTATCCATTCATTGGTTGATGGACATTTGGGTTATTTTCACTTCTTTGCTATTATGAATAATGCTGCTATAAACATTCATGTGCAAGTTTTTGTGTGTAATTTTGTTTTCATTTCTCTTGGGAACAGACCTAGGAGTGGAAGTGTTGGGCCAGATGATAACTCTATATTTAACATTTTAAGGAACTGCCAAACTTTTCCAAATCAGCTGCACCATCTTACATTCCTACCAACAACGTATATAGTTTTTGACATTAAACATGGACACTCTTTTTAAAGAATGCTAGCACTGTTTCAGGTAAAACATAGCACAGTAGGTGTTTAGTAAATATTTGTTGAATGGAAAAATGAATGCGTGTTCTGAGCAAGGTGAGAAGTGCAATGTGGGAAATCAGAGAGAGATGGGCTGAGTCCCTGACAGTAGTAACCTTCAGTCCAGTACCAGCTGGTCTGGCTCCTCTGAGCCCCATATGATTCCTAAATAGGATCAACAAGACCCTTCTGAGCCTGAGATTGACCTGGAGGCTCTCATGGAACTATCCACAGAGGAGCAGAAGTCTCAGTTGGAGGTAGGATGGGGGGCTGGGACCCAGAACCAAGGGTTGAGGGCTAGGCTTGGACGAAGGGGAGCCAAGGAACCCAGGCTCTGCCTCCTTGGGTGGAGTGGGGAGAACTAATTCAGATGGGAGAATTCTCGGAAGACTGAATCAGGGATCCACTCTCTGCTTTCTTCTACCTAGGTCATTCTTGGAAACTGCCCCCGCCCCACAGAGGTAAGGGATGTTCTGCTGGTCTTCGGGTTAGAGGAGGCCCAGTGAGGGAGGCAGATCTAGAAGAGGAGTATTTGAAAGGAAGGCTTGGCCCTGGGTTCTTCTCCCTCCCCTGGCTCTGAGGAGATAGGCAGGGGGAGATTGGGAAAGGCAGTGTGGTGGGTGGGTGTGGCCCCATGCCTTGATCTCACTCCTGTTTTTTCCTCAGCCCTTTATCTCTGAGCTGCTCAATCAACTCAAGAAACTCCGGAGACTCAGTCGGCCTCAGAAATAAGCCTGGAGAGAATATCTTCAGCAGTCTCAGCATGCCAAACCTGCCCTGAACCTCTGGATCCTGGCTGACAGGGTAACAGTTCTTTGGGACACAGACAAGGATCGTGGAGGACAATAAGAGACATTTGTACACCCCTAGTATACATGCAGTCACAGCTAGTTTCTGTCAGCGGGGCTCCCTGGGAGCCAGAAATGGCTGTTGCCTAAGGCCTTCCTTGCAGCCAAGTGGATAATACCTTTAGGAGCCCCAGCTAAATGGAGTGTGGATGTGGTGCTGATTAACACCAAGATCAAGGGTTCAGATCCCCTTACAGGCCAGCTGCCAAAAAAAAAAAAAAAAAAAAAAAAGGGGGGAAAAATTTTTGGTGGGGGGGGGGGGGGGGGGGGGGGGGGGGA